ATCGGACGCAACAGACGCAACGACAAAAAAATCAGGATACTGGCGATCGAAATCGGGAAAATCGGGATGCTTGAGATTTGGGGCAAAAAAATGGGATATCCCGATTAAATCGGGATGAGTGGCAGACGGTAGGCTACTTCCCGCATTAATAGAGCATGCTCATTAACATTAATAACAAAGAAATACAGAAGGGGCACAACTCGCGGAAGGAGGCCGACTTCCAGTTTAATTGCGAGGACACTACTCTCGTCGTCTTGTTGACTCCCGTACTTATTTACGTTCGCCTATCCGGTCATAAATTTTCTAATTTTTCTTGCTTGAAGCCAGTTTGTATTGAAACTAAGAGGGGGAAAAGTTGAAAACATATTTTCCGATGCCAAAACGGATTTCTGTACTCAAACCCAAAAATCGTACTAAATACGTTTTTTTACGTACTACTTGGCAGCTATGATATAGCAAAAAACCCGTCAGATGACGAAAGCGTGCGTTTGAGCGGAGCGTGGCTTTTGTATGGCGTGCGTTTAGGCAGAGACTACTGTATATCATATTAGTGCTAAATTTAGAGGTGTTACAAGAGAGTAGCCAAAAGAAAAGAGGAGACAAGAACAATTGATGTTTGATAGAAAAGATGGAGCAAACCACACCAAAGCACCTGCAAACCATCAACTCACACATTCTGTGTGCGATAGCACGGCCTTAGACACCACAGACGCCAGTGGACATAGTATGAAGCCCTAGCTGCGTCGTGCCAGCCAGCAATTTAAACATTTAAGGTTCCTCTACTACAAAACCTGGCTATCACGTGGACTCTCAGGTAACGTTTTGTCTCTTGGCCGGAGGATTAGCGCCTGACATTTTTCCACCGATGCTTAAGTCGTCTGGAGTAGCAGCCACTGTGGTCAACTCTTGGTTCTCTCTCAGAGAGCTAGTCGCTGGTTCCGAGGTATTCGCATCATGCTCACCAGAGCTCAGCACCGGTTCAGAGATTGTGAAGGTGTCCCTTATTCCCTCCAGCTAGAGAGATGATAAACAACAAACAAAACAAAAATAAGATTTAGTTTTAGTAATTGTGTTATGGCACTTGCAACATGAAAAGAGGTGGGGGGGGAGGGAGAAAGAGTCGATGTAAATGATGGCCGGTCAGTTCTATAAACCACGAGCCGCCACTGCCCCTCGCTATCCGTTAATCCCGGATTATGTATTACGCGCGAGGTGGGATGAAGGAGGTGGTAGTGGTATGAATGTGGCACTGCGGGCAGTGGTATGCACAGGCTGTGTGTAGGCTGTAGGCCTAGTGTGCTGTATCATGACTGGTCATCTAAATTAAATTTTAGTTTCCCATTCGACCACAAAACGAAAGAGACAAACAAAAACTACCATGGCGGGTAAAAATGACAGCGCACACTTTTGTGCGACCACTACTTACGAATAATGGTTAATAACTGTAGACATTTTCAACATAAAAATCTCAGGATTATGAACAATGTCTACTTCCCACTCAAGCACGCTTCGGCATTAAGCACACTTATGCTTTCTCCCAATGACCGTGCTTAAAGCCGGCATGGACTGTCGAAATTGTAATTTGTTCTGTAATTTTAAGCCACCATTAAAAAAAAACAAGAACCCAAGTCAAACACATCAAAGTTAAATTACAGCCAGCAATGTTCAAGACAGCCACCCACAGTCGAGGAGAAAAGCAGTTGTCTTAGACAGGTGGACATCTTGGAATCTTTGACAGTGTTATTATAACATAGAAAAAAAAAAAAACATGAGGGAAGTAGGAAGTGGTCGTTTATTCTGGTGATTGTTTTGGACAGGTGGCTGTTATACAGCAGGTTCAACCAAAGAACAAAAAGACAGCATTCCTAACTGTAACTTTAAATACCTGTATATACCTTAATTCTGTATTTACACGCATGACTGGGTGTACTTGTAGCCTTGTAGAGGAGAGCACAGCGTTCCTCTTCCTGCCAATGCAGCAACACTTGCACAGAGCATGCGTGACCCCAGCTGTAGCCCAGTGCAGGGACCAGGAAGGATGTACCTTCCGAAGGCTTCACTCTCGTTGTCATTTGATTGGTCAGCACAACCTGTCATGAAAGTCCGTCCCAATACCCAATTTAGAAAAGAACTCGAGAATTTCAGTAACAAAAAAATTGTGACTCTGATCACACAAATGAATAGAACTACAAGCGTTTAGATGTACGTAAATATAAACACATTGACACAAAAACAGCAATTTTGAGCAGGGAAATGGTAAGACACAGACAAAAACAAAAGAAGGAAAGAAAAACAAATGACTGTCAAGTGGTGCCCTCCAACCACCTGCCAACCTGGCACTTATGTCCATCCGAACATCAAAATTAATAAGACAAAAATATTACTAATGAATAAACCTGTGAATTTTATTACAGAAATGGGAATCTTTTTAATTTTAGGGAGCATAGAACGCTATTCTGAAGATTATGCTTTAGAAAGCCATGTGAAAATTGTGCACACACAACTGAAAACTGAAAATCGGGTTCACATCATACTATTGAAAACTATTTGAAAATTTTTGAAAATTATGAGCATACTCAAAAATGCCGTTTTAAGATTCTCAGTGCGAACAAATTTTTGCAGTTGTAAATATATCACACCCAAACCGACAGAATTAGATCACGTAAGAGGCAGACTGCTTCAACCTTGGCTGTCAAGGCCAACCGGGGCTCAGTGGATACAGCACCCTAGCAGTAGACAGGTGATGAGTCTCCCCCCCCCCTCTCTCGATTAAATCTCACATTTTTTACAGTGAGGGACCTACCAATGTATAACACCACAGACACCAAGGACACATAACTTCTATTGCATTTGGTCCTATTGTAGCAAAGTGTTCTCTAATGGTGCTTTAAACCAAAAAAATCAATTATTAATCACACTGCTTCGTTACATTTTAAACCAAAATGAAACCTAACAACATACAGCAAGCTGAAACTGTGAGGCAAGTCGATTCAAAGTCTGGGCCAAAGACGCCATGAGCTGTGAGCGGAGAGAGGGATCGTCAGGGCTGTGGCGCAGTGGGGAAGCAATGCTGTCTACGATCACCAGCTTCACCTGCATTACACCAAAACACACGAGTTTGACTTCCCATAAATTGACCCCTTTGTTGCCTTTTATGGCGTACCTGGTAAGTCACGAAAATGCTTAATTTTTGGCTTTGTGCTGTACTGTGGACGATATGTAAGTTGGCAAAATTTGCTGCTCCTGGTTACCTATATTATAGGACATTAGATGTATTTTATGTTAATCACCTGTTTCTTATTCTACAACACAGAGATTTAGCCACAAGCACAGAATGGATTTTATTTGGGAACTTAAAAATGCTCATACAGTACCAAATTTACGAGTATTAGTATATTGCTTGGCTTACAGCTCAGCGCACTTGCAATATAAACACCAAAAAGACTTAAACAAGGCAGAAAACTTCACTTCTTGACTTAGATTTGCAAGTTTTTCAGAATTATATGAGATTAGCTGACAGTAGGAACGCAAAACCCTTGGCAATGAAGGGGTTGAAGACTTGCTTATTTGAGTGAAGTGAATAGAAGCACAACAACACAATAAATAACAATCATATGGTTTTTTTTAGTTTTAGTAGAGGTTTTACGGCGCTAGCAACTGCATAAGGTCATATGAACGCCAAATCATATAGTGAAGAGAAAAAGTAAGACAGACACACAGAAACAACAGAGGAACAAAAAAGAAGTAGGACCTACCAGTGAATTAACACTTACAGTATCGTCGGTGACAGCCAAGGTCGCCTACTTGACCAGGCACACAAAACATATTTAAACAACGAATGGACCCACTGCACTGAAGTAAATACCAAAGGAAGTCACTATATATATGAAAGATGAATGGTAGATGAAACCGTGAATTTTTAAAGCGTGTTTCTTGGGCTGCGAAGGTTTATTAATAATTTTTTTCTTAATATCTATCACGGCTTCAGCGTTCTAAACTGGTGCTGTTCTTGAGGGTTCGTCCCTATGTTGAGCATTCGGTACTGCAAACGTTAAAGAGAAAGCAGAGCAACACAATAACTGCCATCTAGTACTTGGAAAGAGCAAGACAGAGGCAGATATAGGAAAGGGAAAGCAAACAAGCAGGATCAAGCTGTGGCGCCCTCCGACCACCCACATGAAAAACACCAGGCTAAGAATGCGTGTTCGTGTGTGTTTGTGTTTGCCGGTGTGTTTGTGAGTGTGTTTGTACGTGTAAAAGGAGAGAGAGAGAGAGAGAGAGAGAGAAAGAGAGAGAGAGAGAGATAGTGACAGAGAGAGAGAGAGACAGAGTGAGAGAGAGAGAGAGAG